TTTTTTTTTCTTACATCTTCTACTTGCTCATGTTTTATATTTGGTTCGAAAAATACAGGCGAAGAATTAGAAATATCCGATTGATGATTAAGAATGTCTATATTAGATGCAAGACGAAGAACAATGGATTGCAGACGATCTATTTGTTGTTGTATATCTAGATGTGCAACAAAATTTAATTAAATAAAAGTATAAATTATTATTATTATTTTTAAACCTGATGATTCATTCATATTGTGTTCCAATTGACGTTGAGTATATTGGACTAAACAAGTATCATTATATGGTACTAATGTTTGAGATGATGTTCCATCTGAATTGCATTAGAAAAAAAATGAATTCTATGAAGATTTATTTGAAGAAAATGAAAAATAAGAGTTTTTTGTTGTCTATCTGACTTTCGTTTCAGATCACGTCGCGTAGTTTTTGATTTAATCGGAAAATTAAGTTAGTAAACGAATCGTTTCTTAGGTAAGTTTCCCACAAATAAAAAAAAGCAAATGAACTAGACTTTTTCTATAGTAGAATTCTTAAAAAAAAAATTTCGTGATTAAAATCCTAATCATTTCTGTGAAACATAAATGAAATGTATAACATATTCCACCTGTATTTGAAGAAAACCAATATAGAAAAGAATGAACTTTTCCCGCGTATCCAATTTTCTGTTCATATCATCCTTTCGTTTTCATCTTTTCTATTTAGCATTGAAAAGAATATTGGGAATTCTAGTTTACAATACTTCATAATCTCGAAACAAAAAACAAGTTCTGAACGGTAAAATAAATTGATAATAAAGTTTGAATAATAAACTGCATAAGCAGATTCTCTGAATACTATTTGTATTAGGGATGCACCAATTTCAAGAATTGGAATTAGTGTATCCCTGATTCGTACAAAAATGAAGAATATTGAAAAAGAAAAATTAGAGTTCCCAAAAATTTTGTTATTGTTTTTGTCGTCTATATCTTATCAAATAGAAAGTATTGACAAATAGGCAAATAGTCTTTAGTTTTTATCGTTAAAAAAAATGCATATATTTATTTTTCGTGATCAAAAATGTTAGTAATGCTAACAATATTCTATCATGTAAACATTTATTCAAGAAGAAATCAAATTGTTATTTTTACTTGTTTTTAATCTCTTATTAACATGTTCATTCTCCAATATCATTCTCTCATGATATAATCTTTTATCTGTAATAGATGGTCTTTGTTGTTGTTGTTGTTGTTCTTGTTGACGTTGTTGTTCTTCATGTTGATCACCACGCCAAACAAGCCATGAAAGAAAACCTTGACATGTTAATTGATTATCTTCATGAGGTAATAATTTTTTTAATAAATCAAATAATTTATATTGATCAATAAATGATAAACGTGTATCAATAATAAATTTTTCAATAGCAATATAACTTTCAAATAAAGTTATAGAAGAATTTTTATATAATAGAGGATGATGATATTCTTTATCCATATCTAAAAGATTAAAAATATTTTCAGAAAAAAAAAACAAAACAAAAAAACAAGTATTTGAACTTTTCTTTTTTTGGTTTGTTTTTATTAAGAACAAAAGAAAAAAGACTGATAAAAGAAAAATGAAAATATGTTCTTGTCTCTACTTTTTTTTTTTCTATCGAAACAAATAAAGAAGAAGAATAATAAGACATAGAGCAATGACAAAACCAATTACAAGTGAATCTTTACGTTTTTTAATTTTTATTTTATGTAATATATTATTCATTAATGGAAAACGATTTGCAATATTTTTCACTTTATGTGTTATGTTCATAAAATATTTTCGTTGATCAGATAAATCTTTTTTTAAAAGTGATGCCATTTCAATATTTCTATCCATTAATTTATGTGAACTATTTAAATGTCCCATTTCACGTAAATAATAATCTTGTCGACGACTACTAAGACCTGTTGAATTTATATCAGAATTATTATTAATTATATTATTATTATTATTATTATTATTATTCATTAAAAGATCTTCACGAGTTTGAAAATTTCTTATATTTGCTTTTGTACGTTCAAATTCACGTCGATAATCTTGACATATTTCATGATGACGTTGTAATGTATGTGTTGCAGCTGTATTTGGTCCAAGTAATGTTGGTATAGCATCAGTCATATATTTATTTATATCGGATAAACGTTCAAGAAGTTTTTCAATTTCAATAGACATTGTTTCAAATGATGATGATGATGTTGACGTTGTAGAAGAATCTATACCATGATGATTTGATACATGATCACGTGCAACATAATTTGAGCATAATTTTGAAAATGACATTAATTTTGTATCAATTTCATTTTCAAGTTGACGTGCTTGTTTACGTAAATCTTCCCAATCGGTAACTGGTGCTGACATTTTTGAATTTGTTGATGAATATAAATTATTACCGAATGAACGGTTCATAATAGAAAAAGAAATTCATTAAATGAAAACATTAAATAGATAAGTGTTCTTCGGGTTTTTTTCCTTTTTCTTTTTTCTTTTTAGTAAAAACTTATCAGAAATGCAAAAGATATTTTAATGCAAACGTCACACACGTCACAGATGATGAACGACATGAGTCATATGAGGTGCAATAGATTGATTGACCTATTATAATAAACTAATGGAAAATAGTATTGATTTAATTTAAAAAAGAATATATAAACATTATTATTATGATTATTTTATTTTTAAATTTTAATTTTAATAATTTAGAATTAGTAAAATTGTTTAATAGTGACATCTATGTAATAATGAAATATTGTTCATAGAATTTAGAGGGAATTCATTCAAGATAATTATTTTAAACTTTTCATAGATAAAAGAGTTTGATTTTGTAAGGTTAATTTTTTTTTTGGTAAAAATTATTCGTGGAAAAGTACAAAAGAATGAATGAAATATGTTGATCAATTAGTTCGCTAGACTTTTCCTTTCTCTATCTATTGCGTACTTCTTTTTTTTTCCTTGTACTATCTTATGATCGCACGACATATAGATATACATATATAAGTAGCTTCCATCAATATATATTTATTTTTTTATATAGACAACAAAAAAACGTTCTAGAAATGCTTCTACATTTACTTACAATTATTACTATCATCAATAGTCTTACTGGCAAACCAATCATTGCTAGAAATGTTTCAGGTACAAGATTATAATAACATAAATATGATTTTTTTTTTGAAATTAATATTCTATTTTTTTATTGAATAGATTGTACTATAACTGAAGATGGAATACTTCTTTATCATGGTCAACATTCATTTACAAAATTCGAACATGAATGTTTACCATGGAATGATTTACAAACAGTTTTTACTGAAATTATAAATGAACCAAATTTTTTTAATGATGCATCAATTAAACTAGCTAAAAATTATTGTCGTAATCCAAATATGAATATTAATGGTCCATGGTGTTTTATTCAAAATGAAGGTATTATTACTATGGAACAATGTGATGTTTGTCAAAGTCTTGGTATGTTAATAATTTGAAATAAAGTAAATTGTTTCTTTTTTTTTTCTACTATTATTTCTTTAGCACCTAGATCAACATTACCAACAGATATAGGATCTATTGATGAAGCAACCAATGATGATTTTAATAATGGATTTTTTCAAAATATTCGTGATGAATTTAAACGATATTTTGCTTATATTCGAGAGAAATTTAAACAAATCTTCGAACGTATCAGACAAGGTATCAGAAAAGTTACATCAAGAATTTCCGAACAATTTGACTAACAATACATAATTACTTGTTATAACAAGAAACATTTATTTATATCGATAGATACTTATTATTATTATTTTTTCTTATTGTACATCTAAGAATTATTTGTACGAAATACATGCATATGAAATAATTAGAAATCAAGAACTTCATAGATGTTCTAATATTCTTTGACATTTCTGGAAGATAAAAACTAAATTTTGTTTAAAGTAAGTATGAAACGCAATGGTAGTGCAAAGAAGACAGAGTAGAAAGGTGTATTGCTTAATTCAAGTTCGAATATAAATGAAGCTCTAAGAGCTTGATATTATTTCAAAAATAACTGATAAAAACTCGAACCAATACTTTCATATGAGAGCGGCCAAAAAGATCAAAGATGAAGTTTTATTTCAATTATAATTATTATATCGACAATGTTTTTATTATGCTGATCGATGTTTTAAAGCTTCTATTGAAGTCTTTACTAAATCAAAAATCTGACCTTAAAAATGCTTTTGACCGTGTAGTCGACCTTTTATATCGGTGTCGTGACCTGAGAATGCGTAACGCTTCCTGAAGGGTCGTGACCTATGCTGATCTCTGTATACACATCGATACTAATGTTTTTCTTGAGTTCGAGAAAACCTAAAGACAAATATTCATATAATCAAATGTGAGAATTGTAATTGGTTTTTTTTAATTGAAAATATATTTACAATTCCAGTGAGCATATTTACGCATCAATTATTACACCACTCTTCTTATTAACGCCAGAATATAATTGGTAACTTTCCAAGAAATTTAATCATCTTTCAGAAATTAGAATAGTTTTCCAGTAAACTTGATAAGTTTTGTTTTTCAGAGTGAGAGTAGAAACGTATACACAGCGTGGATCATTTGACTCTCCAAGTCACACTTGCGTAGCTAGTTGTTGGAGTTAATGTTAATAATCTTTTCAATTACACTAACGTCCACATCCAAAATTTATCTTTGGCTTTGGCTATGTAAGTGCCAATGAAAATTTGATTTATTTTCGAACTCAAATTAAGCAGCTATTCGCTAGCATCAGAGAAAGGCGTCGTTCCACACAATAGCGTTACGGCGAAATAGAAATTAGGTAAACATAATGTAATTTTTTTTCCTGCATTTAGAAACACACAAAAATATTATCATTTTAACTCAAAACTATTTTCTACATAGCAAACATTAGTATAGAATCTTAAAAGTTCTGCCTTGCGCCGCATTCCCGACATTTTTCAATCATTGCAATGACCAACGGATTTCATTAGAAACTTTTAAACTTGTATTGAACTTTAAAAAAATAGATCAATGCATTTTACCGCTAAAGACGGAAGAGATTTAATTTATGCTTGAAGGTTCAAGTCATTGGATATTTTGCCAGATCAGTTCTGCCTTTATGATGACATTCCCAAAATCTTTTCAAGTTCATGTATCATCAATAAGGATGATAAAACTCGTGCGTTTAATTGGAAACTTTGAATGAATGATTCTGAACTCTGTTGCCAAAGAATTGTTTGATATTTTTAAAATACGTTCGGAAAAAATAGAGCCTCCAAACCGAAGAAAGCTGTCATCAAATCTTCGAAAGTATGAAGGATATCCGTCTCGATTGTGTCGTGCCTCATTACACATCATAGAAAAAATACGATCAATCATATGAATGATTCTATAAGTAATCTTAAAAACGTAATTTTCGGCATCAAAAAGATTGATTTGCGTATTACTTTGAAACCTTATTCATTTATTTATAGTATTAGAAGCCTTGAATTAAACTACTCAAAAAAAGTACATTATAACAGAAAAAAACAAGATTAGTTTTAATAAGCAACTATCAAATCAAAATAATTTCTGATGAATATCGCTAAAAAGATAGCCCATGAAATCTCTTCATGTTTTATATTTTTCTCAATTATATATCATGCATGACATGTATTCAAAATTTACTTTTGCGTTAGACATATACATGTTCATTATTAAAAGAAACAAAAATAAGCTTAAATGAAATGCATATATATATAGGTTGGCATGCGCACTAGATTAAAATAAATTGAGAAAAAAATTAAAAATTATTCTTCAGATTTCCCACACCTTCTTCATCAATACACATTAGTTTGTCAATTAATATGTATATAGACTGTATATCATCTGAAGAAGAAGAACCAAACTAAAGATTATTTATATGAAAGACAAAAAGAAAAACCAAAAAAAAAAAAATTAGTAGCAAACATAGAATCTAATATTTATTGTTAGAGTCGTAGAAACACAGGTGAATTTTCAGATAATGGTACTGGTTCTAGGTAAAGAGGTTCTTCTTCTAAAACAATGAATTAATAACAAAATAATCATTTATTATTTAACAAAAAAAAAAAAGAAAATAAACATACCTTGTGGATTTTGTTTTTCTTTTTTATTTGATTTTACATGTGTACTAACTATTGGATCTTTATTGGATTCTATGATAAAGATATATAGATTTTTACAAAAATCAAAATATTACACATACTCTTTGTTTGAGAACTAGAACTGAATCAATAAATAAACACAACAATGATATAATCTTTACACAATAATATGAATAATTAAACTTACTTTTTTAAAACTATAATAAAGAATAATAGTTAATTTTATAATAAAATTTAAAATTCATATTTATACCTCTATTTTTGCAGCAAAGGAAAAAAATTAAAAAGAATAATAATCCAAAAAAGAAAAGACCGCCAATAATAGAACCAATAATAATAGCAATTTGTTTTCCTAAAAGAATACAAAAAAAAATGATTTTGAAATTCTGTTTATTTCTTTTTTTCCGAAGAATAAAACAATGAGAAACTCACACCGGTTGTCAATTTTCCGCGTCTTCCAGAATTCGATGACGTTCGACCATTAAAATATTCATCATCATCATCTTTTGAAGGTGGTGTAAAACGATTAGATGGATCAATATCAGGATTAATTGGCATTGCATCTAAAATAATATACTTTTTGATTTGTCTTGTCTCATCCTATTTAATTTACCTTTAATGTCAATAACACTTATTAAAGATGAATGTACTCGATTATCGATTACTAATTCACATGTTAACCTTTCTGGATATCTCGAAGATGTTCGTTTGAAAACGGTATGTTGATTTGCACAGACAACCCATGATCCATCAAGTTCTTGATTTCGTTTTATAGTAATTCGGTCTCGAATTTCTCCTACTGGTGTCATTTTAATATTTACATGTTCATAGCCCGTAACAGATGTACAACAAAATAAATCAACATAAGTTTGATCGGCAACTTCAAATGTACTTCGAGTTTCATCTGATGGATCATTAAAAGTCATACATGCACCAGGTTGACCATGACATATATAACTCCAATAAAATAAGTCAACATCTAAAAGATATTTTTTTCTTATTTTGCAAAAATCTACTAAATAAACATATAGAACATTATTTACCAGCTACAATCAATTGATAAGTACGACTCATTGACTGTCTTCTCGATTTTGAACTACTACAACCATAATATCCAGTATTTTGTGAATTAGCTGAATTTATTGTAATACGTAAAACATTTTCTTCATTTATATTAATAATATTTAAATTTAAATATGAATATCTATTATCATTATTTTGTATTTCTGACCAGTCATGTAATTGTCGAGCAAAATAAACTGATTCATCTTGGTGACAATTAAACGAAAATGATTCTCCTATTGGTACAATAGTTTTTTCTATATTTCTACACCATGAATCAGATATAATAAGAATAAAGATAAAGTTAATAAAAACAAAATATAACATCATTGAATAATAAACGTGTATATAATGATCAAAAATAAAAATAATAATCAAGGTATTCAAATTCTAAATACCTAAGAAAGTTTCTCATGTCAATGAAAAAAAAACCTATGTATGCATGCACAATATATTAAACTATAATTATGATGGTATGAATGAGGTGTAGTGAGGACGAGAAAAAAAAGAGAATGTTTGTCGTTTGAAGGCTAGTGTTTTTTTTTCTCTTTCGTGCATAAATATAAGCAATAGCATTAATGCATTTGCTTCCTTTCATTGTGTTTTTGTTAAAGTAAAATTAGAATTGGATGATTCATTTGTTTTTTTGTTGATTTCTGCAGTATTTTTTTTTTTGAAGAAAAAGTGACTCAAATTATAGATGACATCTACGGAGAATATATATAGGGAAAGTGCGTAGGTAAAATGACATTTAAGAAAAAAAAATCATGATGCAAATCGTTTTTTATTGACTTTTTTTATTATGTATGACAGAGGAAAGAAAGAAAGGTTTACAAAAATGAATCATTAAGTAAGAAAATTATCTGTAGTTTTCAATCAACATTAATTTATCAAATGATTAACGATGCGTTCAATTGAGTGTATACTTGTTTTCATTTGACATCATCGATCTTGTAACTTAAAAATACATATTGCAGAAGCTAAATAAAAATATCAACCATTGGTTTCTTTTTCTTTTTATGAGAAAATAATTGCTTTAGTATATACATTGAATATTTCGATTTAATCGAGTACAGAGGTATCCCAAGCGCGAGTCGAAGGGTAGTGATCCCCGACCTTGAAAAGTCAACCTTAGTAAAAAACTTCGAATCGGTGTACTAAGTCATCGACTTCCGTCTCTCAATCCTAGTGACCTTGAAACATTCTTGATCGAATAAAAACATGTTTACAATAATTCAATAGAACAACTGATGGATATGAAAGTTTCGTTTTTGTAACTAAAGCAATCTTGTGTAATCTATGATTAAGCTAATTTTATTGGAAATCCGCAATGAATCAAGTTGATACTTCTTGACATATCAAATGTCTTGTTTTTCAAAGGTTTCATATTACGAAATAATTCATATATTATTAAATATTCGACGAAAATATTATACATTAGTAGACATTCGATATTAATATAATAAAAAATATGTTGGTATAAACGTAAGAAAAAACAATGAAATAGACTTTGTTTTTTTATTGAAATCTTCTTGTCCGATAAATGTTTGTCGTTTTATAACACGATGAAAAATGTTCAAAATGATTTAATTGATTTATTAAGGTCAAAGTTTATGCTACATTTTCTCTATTTCGTGCATAGTACACTGTAAAAAGACAAAGAAACGTAAAATATTAAACATGTTGCTCTTATTGCAACCTTTCATAAAACCCGTTTAAGGTATATGATTACTACAAATGCAAACGCGTATCACATAAGTGATAGAATTGACTATTATTTTGGCATACTTGACCAGCAATCAAATGGATTACAATAGATCTTATCTGATCGGGCCTACGAAAATTGGTCGAAACGAAAAGTAGGCGAAAAATTCTTAATAAAAAAAAAAGAAATAGAATCTTTCAACACGAGCGATAACAGTATGAAAAATAAATTAATATTAGTATATAAGCTGTTGCTGATACTTTTAAAATATTTGTTGTAGTAGCCTGTGTAAGCAAAGTGGACTGCAGCCTCTCTCCAGAACAATTGATTTTAAGCAGGAAAAAAAATGAAAATAGAAAACAGGTGCGGGTGTTGGGATGGATCCTCTCGAACCTCATCACACACCCGAATTTACATCAGCTCTGACACTCGCATCAACGCTGACAATTATACCACACTCTCAAAAATGCTTTTTCCCAGTTCTAAAGCGCTATCAGAATTAATTTCGATACAATTTCATGAAAATACATGAATCGAACAGTTTTAATTTTACAAAGTAATTCTAGTTCATATGCTACATGTATTAGAAAAAAAGCTCCGTTGTAGTGATGGACATTTTACTAATGACATCTTTCCTTTTCCTCTTATAATGCTTTTACTGATTCGTCGCATTGGAAGTTTTTTTTTTCATTAAGAATTTTTCGATTATTTTTTATGTCAATCAATTTTCGTTTTCCCTACCTAATCATAATAATAATAATAAAATCGATCAAAACTAAGATTGATTCTAATAATTGAGAAGATACTACGGTAGTATCTCATACTGCGACACGCAGTTTAAAGCCATTGATTAAGCAGGATTTTGTCTGTTTGAGTATTTTTTTTCTATCCCACTGCATGAATATTTTGTAACTCGTACAAAAATGTCGGATATCAGTCAAAATCTCGCCTTTCTTACAATAGTGAGTGTGCTCAAGCCACTTCTATCAGTAAGATCGTTTGTTTTTCCACAATTTACCAATTTGATTATTTATTAAAGCTGATATGACAAAATATCTACTAGTTACCAGAATGAATCCAGAGAGAGAGAGAGAGAGAGAGTTGCAGCGTCAATTAGTATCAAATACTGCGACATATTCAAATCGACTTTATTAAGTACAAATTGACGTTTTCATGGCACATAATGCGAATTCAATAGAAAATTAGCAAGAAAAAAGGTTCAGATCGATGATTCCAGGCTCCGAAAGCAATCAGGTTTCATTGGAGTCAGTTGGAATGATGCGGAAAACTTCGGAGGCTTTCCGGTCTGGAATATTGCTTCTAGTATCAATCAATTTTCGGTGTTTTCCCACTCGAACTAACCCATATTTCTTGATATGGGAGTAAATCGATTGAATCGGTGGCATTCTCTTTTAAGAACCGTGGTCAATCGTTGGCATTGACGAAAAATAGATGACATTGGATGTAAGAGGGTGTGGGTATTGCTTGATGGGAAACAAATGACACTCACACCCACACCGTTGATCATCATTCATAAACTATTGACGAAGTTTGATATTGACTTAATAAGTGAAGACAATGCTCATCTCTGATGAAAGTTCTATAGAGTTAAGATGTTGACGGTGTTCCATCGTAATAACTGGTAATAGAAATAAAGTATAGAATGCATAAATCAAAGAAGTATCATATAATATTGGTGAAGATACTTCAATTTTAGTAATAAACTATATGTTATACATAGCTTCACCTAAGAAAAAACATTGAATACCATAAGTATGCCTTGAATTACTTCTCTCTATTTTAGACAGTATGGTTTTTTTTTGCTCAGTATTGAACACACTGGACTTATATTCTTATAGTTGTATCAGTGATCCTGCAACATGAGTTACTTCAAGACATATCTAAACTTTCGAATATTCAACCGATAAATGCAAATAGTTGGACTATATGTACTCAAACTTTTTTTGATTTTTTTTGTTCGAATGACTCGAAGTACTTGATGACTTCATCAATCTATTTTCTATTATGAAATTCAAGAATATTTTTATGTTTAATTCATGTATTTGATAGTTACTTTTTTTTTCTAAGTAGAATAATGTATTTGAAGAATATCCTAACAACTATAGTAGATGTACAGTAGTGGCCAAAAGCCCCGACCCTAGAGGATCTCAGCCATTATAAGTGCTGGATGTCTGAAAATTTGTGTGCGCATACTCCGTCAAGAATGCAGGTCAGAGACACAATTCTGCCTCGATTGCTTCAGTATAAAGAGAATTATGATAGATGGTATCTATTTTTGTATTGAGATTTTTAACCTGAAAAAGGACTGTCCACTCAATTTTACACTATTTTTTTACCAAATACATAACTAAATTTTGATATTATTGCATGGAATTGGAGCTCAGTCTATCATCTTTCTTAAACCAAAATATGAGTTCATTTGTTCGAATATTGGCGTTTCTGCATGTCTCTGCATCCTCAGATTCACCAATGCGATGGTAATAGCCATGCTATTTTCCATTAGTACACAGTTCATTTATGAAACTTATGGACACTAATGTGCAACTACAGGAGACGCTTTTGCAAGAATTTGAGCTTCATCCACTAAATTGTTACTGAGTTACCGTCTTAAAATGATACCAGAGGATTTTTTTCCATATCATCGGTCATAGTAAATTGGCCATAATTCTAAAGAAAATTGACAAACTGCAATAAAATTAGTTGTGTGGATAGCTGAAACACAGCGCTACACAATGAACCATTAGCTGACCTACGAAGTCCAGCTTTTCCAGAGTTATGAAGTTCAAAGGCGAAATATGTGTCATCCATTGTCATCCACCAAAATTCTCTTTATACTGAAGCAATCGAGGCAGAATTGTGTCTCTGACCTACATTCTTGACGGAGTATGCGCACACAAATTTTCAGACATCCAGCACTTATAATGGCTGAGATCCTCTAGGGTCGGGACTTTTGGCCACTACTGTATATGTGAAACAAATATCAAGTACTTTAATGCCTTCGAATAGTAACTATGTACATGAAGTAAATTTGAAATATCTTGATTTGATGGTGATCTCTCGTGCTGAATATTAGTCAAAAGATTTAGAATTTCTTTTGAACAGACTTGTCCAAAATATCAATTGCGCCAAAATGAAATTTGATTCAATGTCTTCTTGAATTTCAGAGATCCTGTCGACAATCGCATTAACTATATTATGATGATTGATTAAGAGACTACTAATCTGTCTGTCACATCGATATTGAAAGGGATTCATGTCAAAGAATGTATGCTGTCACAAACGATTAAATGAATGGCATCTAAAGATTAACATGCATAGCATCTAGGGTCGATACATTCATCGCATCATATACACAAGACAATACGATAAAAATTCAACTTTTTATCTTGTGATTACTAATTATCTGCTGTGATTGTTAAACCATGTTAACCATATACATTTTCATAAGAATTTCATAAGTACTCAAAATTCATGTTGATATTGAAATCTTTAAAAAAAATGATTACTTAAGATCAAAATAAACTTAGGAAACCCGAGAAATTCTTAAAGTTTTTGTCATATCAAATGACTTGTAATCAATTACAAAAATTTACTGATTTCCCAAAAAGAGTTTGTTCTGTGTCATTTACCAACTCGAATTTCTTTCAAAATATTATCTTTCTCTTTAATGATCACGATCAGCATATAATTTACTAATATTAAAAATAAATATAGTAATTCATATCGTTAGATTTCTTTTTGACGTCAGTAAATTTAAATTAATACTCCGTATTAGTATAAGAAACTAAGTAAAACTACGAAAACCTTTAAGCTTCTTAACGTAGATTAGAATAGTCAACACCTTTAATATTTTTATTCGATTTATCATCATCTATGTCACTTTTTCATTCATTCATTTATTCATTCTTTTTTCAAAATCATGCAATAAACAAAACAAAAAAAAAGAAAAGTAATTAAGATAATAAAAAAGCTTAATTTGGTGTTTTTTTTTTGCTGTCGCAATACACATTCTGCGATAGATAGGACATCTAGAAAAACGATTTTGAAAACCAAAAAAAAAACCTTAATTAAAAAATGTACATATAGCAAATAAAAAAACAAAACAAAACAAAACATACAATGATTATTTGATAGAAATTTCGTTTCATAATAACAGTCAACAAAAGAAAAACCAACTTTCATTCATAGTGATTTCTACTTACACATACATAATTACAACAAAAATATATCTGCATTCATTTAAACTGTAGATTACGAGAAAAGAAAAAAAAAGATCAACAACAACAACAACAACAACAAAAAATAGATGTCTTTTAGAAATAAGCCTAGTGATAAAACACTGTTTTGTTTTTCTTTTGCTGAACATGTTAATATATATTTATGATGAATAATATATCGTATCTTTCTTTTGGCGACAACATAATGCCAAAGTAAAAATGAAAGTAAGTAACTAAAAAGAAAAAAAAAGAATAAAAATACAAGACGTAAGACAAAAGAAAATAATTACTTCAATAATGAGAACAATAACAGCGCCGATAATAACCCAAGTTTTAGCAGAATTAAGTAAATCTACTAATTTATTATAACAACCCTATAAAAAAAAAAAAGAAAATTCAAATTTTATTCTTTTCTTTTTCATCTATTATTATAAATAAACTTACTATTTCATAAATATTAGTTCCGTTAAGAGCACAATTAGAAGCTTGTTGTAATTGATCTAATGGTAAATCATTCCAATTTTGTTGAAGATTACCAATAGGACAACATGTTAATGGATAAACAAATTCTTTCATAGTAACTGGTAATGATGAATTCCACCATGGATTTGTACGATTCCATTTTGTTGTTCCAAAAAAATCTAATTTACCTTCAACACCACAACATTGAAGCTGAAATAGATTAAAACAAAAAACAAAAAAAGAAATATTTAATTCTGAAAAATCAAATTACTTACATTATACATAATAAAATCCCAAGCTAATGAAAAAGATGATGGTTTAGATAGACCATTAGAGTTTAATACAAGTGGTCCTTCATATGTTTGTTTTAATGATTGTTGTAATTTTGGTACAAATCGACTTTTAAAATTTGCTTGAAAAACAACAAAATAAATTGTAACACCTATTTCAACAATAATAATAAGTCCAACAATAATTGCATACTAAATAATTACAACAAAAACAAAAAAATTAATACATAAAGAAAACATGAAAATTGAACTTACACATATTAAAAATAATTTTACTTGTTTCATTGCACCACAACATCCAAGAAATCCAATTATTAATAGAATAGAACCCAAAATAATAATAACAATAGCCATTACTTCAAGATATGATAAACCTTTTTCAATTCCAGGATCTTAAATAAAATTAAAGATATTTACTTTTCTTAATTTCAAAACAAATTTACTTGTACTAATTGGTAAAAATTCTTTAAGTTTTTGAAATCTTGGATCAACCATAACATAAATACCAAGTGCGAGTAGTGCAGCACCAATTAACTAAATAAAAATAATTACAAATTTCAACAAAACAAAAAATATATACCAAAAAATTACTTACAAAAAAGATAATATTAAACAGTACCATAATGAAACGTACAGTTTTCATTCCACAACTCATACCACCATGACCCATTTTTTAAAAAAGCTTTTCTTTTAAATTATGTATATGGTCTAAAAAAGAAAAAACCAACGATTTATACTGAAATAAATAGCTGTTTCTAGAAGAAAAAAAGTATGAATCACGATGAGAAGATTCTCATATATCTAATTTTATATTTTTTGTTAGACGCGAAGTGCATCACCTTTTCTTATTTAATGGCGTCAGAAAGAAAAGAAAAAGAGGAAGACGAATCATTCTCGTATTTCTTTTTTTTTCCATCGATATTATTATGTTCGATTCGAAAGTATACATACCCATAAAACGTCGGTACTAACAAAGAAAGAACGAATAGTAGAGCCAATATATATATATATGCAAGTAAAACGTATCGTTGAGAGAGAGAAGAAAAAAACAACAGTTGGTGCTTGTTTTCTTTTGTTGAAAGAAGAGAATAAATAATCGTCTGATGTTACCCAAAGGCCTAAGTAAATTTTAAATATTTTATGAAAAATAAATGCGTCATCAAAAAAAAAACCAATGACAAATATCGTTTTCGTTATGATATTCTTTTGACTTTCTCTTGGTGTGTTGTATACAATTAAATTTTTATAACCCCTATTATTCATCGACAAACAAAAAAATTAACAGAACGAATATCGCAAATAAAAATGATGTGCCCACGTATTTGTAAAGAGTCACTTGATTAATGCATAGATCAGTTATGCGAAATAAATATTCATCACTTATTCCAATGTGACACACACACATGAATTTGTTATTATCATTATATTTAAATTGTTTTTATCACTACATTCAAAATACTGTGAAAGAATATAAAATATAATCTTGTATCAGTTTC